CAGTCTGACAGTCAAGAAATATTGCCCATTTCTGTCAGCACCTAAAATGCCTAAGCTCCAGTGCGAAAGCAACGAATGCGTTTTTTTCTGACGTTATCGAAGGAGATCAGAACCGGGCTTAATTCGGCAAAAAAAATTAGAGAATACAGTACGGGTGAACCATATCAACACAAATGCAGTATTAATTATTGTCGCAATAGGTTTTCCACGTTCCGGCAGAACTCATAGATATTCAAGCAGCTCCTCTTGATGCGTATTTTCTAGGTACTGAATTATTTTGGGTTCCTTGAGTAGGCCCGTGGAAAGAAATACAGAGACAAATTATCAGATTTTTTTCTGGATGAAGCTCGCATTTCGACAACTACGGTGTTCTAGACAGGGATTTTTTCGGCGTCCCATGAGATTCAGGTGATTGATAATCAAATAAAAACTTGGCACTATATTTCGTCACGAAATCGTGCTACCGTAATCCTTTGCATGCCCGCCCTCGAACCTTGAAAGGAGTCCACCAACAGAATTATTTCACAGGAGCTCACGCACCGAGTTCTTATATCAAATATCTTAATCAAATTTACAGAAGAATTCAGCAAAAATAAAAGGAAAGGAAACGCAACTCAAAGGAACTTTGGTAATATTTAAAAGTTCACCCCAATAGGCCTTGACGCGGTGACACGGAAGCCGCGTTAATTATTCACTAAACTTGCAACGAAGTAAAAGTACAGTACTGACATGGTGTGACACGAATTATAACCGCCAGGAACTCACGTGAATAAAAAAAAGGTTGGTTAGCAAAAGGCACGTAGAGTCTTCGATCTTCCTGCAATTTCACGAAGAGGTGCCAGAAAGAGCATGATTCGTCGCAATTGCATCCTTTCATCATATTCGAATTTCCGAGGAAACCAGGAATTGAGGAAAGATCACGATGAAGCTCCCAAAAAATGGAAAAAACAAGAACATATGAGAATTGATTCATTTCGATCAGCCCCTTCATCTTCTCGTCTGAGTTTCTGAGGAAATCAGAATAAACTTGAAAACGCAAAAGATTTCCACACAATGAAAGAAAAGCAAGAAATATACAAAACATGAATTTATCCTCATGTTCCTTTTATTTTGGAAATATTCTAAGAAATTAAAATACAGTATATTGGAAACTTCAAAAACTTTCTCATAAAAAGGTAATCGATTTGAATGCTCATTCTCTCATCTTCCTTGACGGTCTTCGAGATATCAGCAGATCGCTAAGAGCACCAAAAGATTTCCATAAAATTGAAATACGGTAGTCAATAACATTGTGACTTGATTTGTTAATTACCGTTTTGTTCTCTCTGGCTTAATTTCTTTGAAGTACCTTTTCAAATTTGAATAAGTGCAAATTTGAAACGTAAAGCTCACGTGGAATTTCGATTGGAATTGAACCAGGTGAATACAGAGAAGTTAATCGGCTATTCATCGATCATCAGAGTCCACGGAACGGGCAATTCGATTCCAAGAAAATGACAGGTCACTACAAAATTTATTATTCAGGGGCTGTGGGGTAGCCATTAGATTCGCCCAACAAAGCCGTGAGTACGTCAGTAGCCATTGAAACACTAGAAAGTCTACGAACGCAATTGCGTCGCTGCGTGCGACGATGTCGTCGTCGTCGTCGTCCATGTCGCTTCCGACATCAAGCGTCCTTGCGATTTCGATCTTGAGAAAACGAGTTTCAATCATTTCCCGGCGGCCCACGTAGACGAGACGACGAACTTAATGTATCCTTGATAGCTGTGCATCCAAATTTAGCTCAGGAGAACAGTGCAATAGCTGAGACAACTCGTTGGAGGATAATTACTTTAAAATGTTGCGCCTATCTTATATAATATATGAGATCTCGTGCGGAATCCCTGGATAGTCTAGTGATTTGGAGTCGAGAATAATATTGAGCGCTGAGATTTATGAACACGTTAACACGGAGAACTATTTTGAATACATTTCTACTGCTGAGCCACTGGGTAAATTATTGTTTGCTTTTACGTCGAGTTACAGGCATGTATGGCTGTTCGCCATAATTTTGTGGTCCTACTTTTGGATCCCAATAAATATGCTCTCTCGCGGAAGCATTGGTGGATTCTATTTTTTTTATTTTCCCCTTTAATAAATTAAGTCTCAAATGCTCCTCGGCCCCTCGTAAGCTTGTTATCATACGAGCGATTGAAACGATATGTGGCACTTGACGTGGGAGTCTTTGTTTGAACTTAATAGTAATCTTTGAACTCCAGTGTAAAAGCAATTTTTAAATATTGCAGGAGAGTCTCTGGCCCGAATAATCGAATACTGCACATATTATAGATGATCATACGTTAAAGAGGAATTCAAGAACGAGCTGGCAAAAATGTCACTCGTATAAGCCCAGGTACTCAAATGATTAAATTTATCAAGCATATGATTTTAAAAATATTCCAAATAACGCGCAAAGATTATCGATTCATATATAGGATTCAGCAATACATTGCCAGTCACCAGTGTTCCTTGAATAAAGCGGCACCAGATTAAAGTTTATTACCAACTTAACGAACCTAAATTAGGGCAAAGTTAATAAAATCTAAGGTCAAACAAAGTCAGTAAAAATAGTGTATGCGAAGCGCTACTACAAATTTTTCCAGTCCTAGAGAATGAAAAAGACCTGACAACAATTCTTTCCGACGTTTTCGATCCGTCAATGTTTATATCCGCACGTACAGCGGATAATTTTCTTATGTGACCTGACGCGGCATCTGCATTGTCACATAGGCGCGCACTCTATTCCTCAAAATGTAAGGAAAAAAGTAAGTGACCTTTTTTATGCTCATTTTTTTCCTGCTATGAACAAACGTGGATAAGAGGAGTCAGATGTGTAATGCTCCGTGCCTGCTTACGTATAAAGTAGAAGGCCGCTCCGGCAACTTGACCGCCTTGGGCGGGGCTCTTCGCACGCTCATTAGAACAGGGGCACTAAGTCCTATAGTGGCTATTCGCGTGACGGTATGGGTCAGCGCCAGTAAACCGGGTCACAAACAACTGTAAATTAATGCCGGAGTCGGGTCATCGCCATGAAGGATCTCCGAAGTCTGGAGAGACCTAGGCATCCCGCGGTCAAAAACGAGCGCTTCTTGAAAATATATTCTTTTGGAAAAGAGTTCCTCAGTCAATGCGTGCACGAATCAGAGAGCGTTTTATGAAATCTTAATTCATTCTTTGTTGGGAAACCTTTTCTGAATAATCTCTTCGACAAGTGATGCACAATTAAGTGTTGTTGATTTTTACGGTGACCTGATGCTGAATTCTGTCGTGTTGAACAGGTTCAACAATTTGGAGATCTTGAGGCTAAACGACAACAGGCTGACGGAAGTGCCAGACAACGCGTTCGACAAGATGAGCGATAAGCTGCGTGAAATTCACCTGCAGAGGAACGTCATCTTGGACATGGGGCCTTTTGCGTTCCGTGGATTGAAGGCGCTGGAGATCGTGGACTTGTCGGAGAATCAATTGATTGAGGTTCCTGCGGGAGGTCTTTATTTTGACAAGACTCCAAAACTCGTTGACCTCTCCCGCAACTTCTAGTAACCAGAACTGAGGCTCCGTAAAAACTTGGGGCCTTTGGGCGCACTCACCCGGGGAATAATATCGAAGGACTAGGCCGTCAATGTAAGAACGTAAGGGGAGTAAGGCCGCGGTAATTTCACGTTCGATATATGATAGTTGTGCATTACCCGAAAGGTCGTCCTCGACATAACACCGCGGAAATAATTGTAGTAGGGAATGTAGTAATGAAGTATTGTCCGCATGACGAGATCTCAGAGCTGTTTCCACCGAAGTCTTCAGCCAAAAAATAATTAAGGTGCATATGAATGCTGAAATCCTGCCTTAGGAGAAATCGAGCTAAATTAAAAAAAATAATCATTCTTGGAGGTGACTCGATTTCTCAACTCAATGTGTAGACTCAGAAAAGCGCACAAGGGTTGTGTTTGATTAGAATTTTCAGAGAAAGTTCAACCCCTTCCACGAACGATTGTATTTTTATTCAGACTTGTTTTCAGAAAACAAATTTTATAAAAATGGGCTGCAACCTAATTTTCGGCAAATCTCGTGGTGTACTCGGTTGAAAGGAAAAATTAAAATTAGTGAAACAGCAATACCTCTGGGCAGTTTCAAGCTATCTACGATGCTGTCCTATAACTTCGAAAAATTTTCGGTCCCAGTTAATTCAATATTTGTCCGAATTATATCGAAATCAATAAGAGTGTTAGAATGGTCCAAATGAACACATGAAAAAATATTGTACACCGATAATGAAAGTCTACATTTTAAATATTTTCATAAATTTCCTATAGTTGTCGTCCCAGGTTTCTGCGCCTTCAATTCATAAACAGCAGCTAGCCGAGCAAGACTTGCACATTGTTGCTCGGTTTCTATATTGCGATTATATTACATTCCAGGATTTTTTGAAGCTTTTAAAAGTGTGCTGCCAATTTTTTATCAAAGATTATGAAAACGGCAACATTTTCGGGCCCCAGTTGCATGACCATTTGGCAGAGAAACAATCAGTTAAATTCAGTTTGTTTGTGCTCTTATCGATTGAATGGCTCGAAGGAATCCCTAACTGTCTTCTTGGGTCGTGTTGGAGAATGCTCTCGCATGTCCTCATTAAGTAGGACACCAGTGTGCAATTCGTCTCAGCAGTTTCGTTGAGTTCCGTGCCAACTATAAAGAATCTTCGACTTGGACCCGAACGGTACGTGTAGTTGAACCGCTTGTTGTTGTAAGTTCCTAAGGTCGTCGTCCTTATAGTTCGGTACAAGGTCTTCAAGCTACGTGAGTTCTGACGCCTGGATCCTCCTCCAGCAATAGACCCCACACAGGCTTTGCTCGCAGGTGCGAATTCAAATTTGCTCGTCGAAAGGCTCTTCAGTCAGCTCCGTGACCCCGGGAATCTGGGCCCGGAAAGGACACAACTACTGGCCTCATTGTTGGGTTTAAACAATATGCCTGGGTTGCCAACGACTCCGACGGTTATAACGACAACAACGACGACAACGACACCTGCGCCTGTGACACAGGCAGCTCCAGCCAGCGCACCCGGCGCTGCAGCACTAGGTGGCAACGCTGACTTCGCATCCATCATTTCCCGCGTGCTCGCACTGAGGGCGCAGCATACTGGCGCCGCGCCACCCCCAGAACTCCAAGCCCTCTTGGGTACTTTAACCACGACCACCACTGCGTCTCCGACTCCGGAAATCCCGTCTTCCACTTTGCCACCGACAGTGGTTCCCTCGTCCAGCTTGGACCCTCTGAGTGCTCTTCGACAGAGGGGCTTCGATTTGTCGCTGTTCGGACCGCAATCGCTCGGGCAATCGTTTTCACCGGTTTTCCAGCAACCCGCTACTACGACCCCGGTCCCGACTACCACGACTACCCTGCCTCCACCGCCACCAGAGTGACGAGGTGGCGTTGGGCAAAACGTTCGTCGTGGGCGTTAAGGACTTAGGCACGAGAGTTCAGAAAGGCCGCCGTTAGTTCTTCGCGAGGACCGAAAAGACTCGAGGGCCATACTGACTTTTTTATATTTCCTCGAGAAATTCGAAATTATCACAGATAAAAAATGAGTTACAATAGTTTAAAAAATGTACATACACCCGTACGCTCGTCAAAAAAAAATTAAACAGCATTAAAAAACCCCGTCCGCCCTGTGAGATATGACCAGCGATAATGACATTACTATTATTGAAAAATGTCGACGATACGCTGGGGGCCATAAGATATTTTTTTTAATATCATCGCAAAGGATCTAAGTTTGCATTAGCAAGCGTTCGGTCATGAAAAATCGTTACATAAATTAGTCCACTTTTCCCCTAAGAATCATATGGACTGCAAAAAAAAGGTACGGAACAGTCATGATTTACGAAATAAGAAAACATAGTTTCTGTAAAACGTATGGGTGTACGGCATGCTAATATTTTAAGGCAGATGCGAGATTGAATGGATATCTGGACATTTTCCTCGTTCACTGCTTTGATAAAAGACGACGAACTGCAGTATCATATCATTCACAGATACCGTAGTTTTAAAATATGAACCACAGAGATGGGGCAATTAAAGGAATGTATAGCAATTGTTACAATAGGTTTCATCACGATGCGCATACTATCTCTGAACTATTGTAAATATTGAGCACCTTCGGTCTGCTGCATTGGATGGAACTTTAAACAATATTACAGTAGTTCAAATAGCCACGTTTTCTTGATAATATGCAAGGACGTGTGTGGAAATTTAAAATTCCCACATAACTCAATTTAGCTGAAATGGAAGCCTTAATACGGTATATCATGTAGGTCAGGATCTCGAATCACTATACTGTACACAATACTTCATCATCGTGAATTATGTAACAGCAACTTCTAGGTAGTCGTTCGGCAGTTAATAATTTTTTTTTTATCAAAAAGATGCTTACTATTTTAATTGACGAAAATTGAATCATCGAATCATTCCGAAGTATCCGAACTGATACAATACCCTGACGTTAAAATTCCCTCCGAGTATGTCGATAATGATTTTTACGTGCTTCTTTCATAGGTTTGATCTCGTTCCGAGATCAGCGGCTGCTTCTCGACCATCAGTTGCAAATCCTGTACAATCAAACGTCATTCCAGAAGTGGTAACACCAGCTCCTCCTCCACCACCACCACCGTCGACCACGACCACAACCGAGGCTCCAACACCTCCACCGAGTCCATCACCAATTGTCGAATTAGCTTCAGCGTGAGTACCTCGATTTTTCTTTATCTTCGTCGATCTTCCGTTAAGATCATTGGTCTTGACTCCGAGGCATTTTTGAACCCCGGAAACCCGCGTGAGTGGGCCCCTTATTATAGCTTCCTGATCCGGCAGTTACATTCTTGCATTCCCCTCATTCCGGCGCCATTAAAGTTGTTCGATATATTATAGTTGTGCATTACCCGAAAGGTCGTCCTCGACATAACACCGCGGAAATAATTGTAGTAGGGAATGTAGTAATGAAGTATTGTCCGCATGACGAGATTTCAGAGCTGTTTCCATCGAAGTCTTCAGCCAAAAAATAATTAAGGTGCATATGAATGCTGAAATCCTGCCTTAGGAGAAATCGAGCTAAATTTAAAAAATTAATCATTCTTGGAGGTGACTCGATTTCTCAACTCAATGTGTAATAGACTCAGAAAAGCGCACAAGGGTTGTGTTTGATTATAATTTTCAGAGAAAGTTCAACCCCTTCCACGAACGATTGTATTTTTATTCAGACTTGTTTTCAGAAAACAAATTTTATAAAAATGGGCTGCAACCTAATTTGCGGCAAATCTCGTGGTGTACTCGGTTGACAGGAAAAATAGAATTAGTGAAACAGCAATACCTCTGGGCAGGTTCAAGCTATCTACGATGCTGTCCTATCACTTCGAAAAATGTTCGGCCCCAGTTCGTTCAAAATTTGTTCGAATTATATCGAAATCAATAAAAGTGTTAGAATGGTCCAAATGAACACATGAAAAAATATTGTACACCGATAATGAAAGTCTACATTTTCATAAATTTCCTGTAGTCGTCGTCCCAGGTTTCTGCGCCTTCAACTCATTAACAGCAGCTAGCCAAGTAAGACTTGCACAGTGTTGCTCGGTTTCTATTGCAATTATATTACATTCCAGGATTTTTGAAGCTTTTAGAAGTGGGTTGCCAATTTTTTTTTATCGAAGATTATGAAAATGGCTACATTTTCGGGCCCCACCTGCATGAGCATTTGGCAGAGAAACAATCAGTTAAATTTAGTTTGTTTGTGCTCACATCGATTTAATGGCTTGAAGGAATCCCTAACTGTTTTCTTGGGTCGTGTTGGAGAATGCTCTCGCATGTCCTCAATCTCATTAAGTTGGACACCAGTGTGCAATTCGTCTCAGCAGTTTCATTGAGTTCCGTGTGTTGATATTTCTTAGAAGCTGAACCTGGGCTTGCCATGCACATCAACTTGGCGAACAACAACATTCAAGGATTCCAGCAGCAGGAATATCAAGCCATGTTCCAGAAGTTCGATGCACTCAAGACTGCTCCACCACCACCACCGTCGACCACGACCACAACCGAGGCTCCAACACCTCCACCGAGTCCATCACCAATTGTCGAATTAGCTTCAGCGTGAGTACCTCGATTTTTCTTTATCTTCGTCGATCTTCCGTTTAAATATTAGCAAGTCTATGATTTTTTTATGTGTAAATTTATGCATTCTAGCCCCCAAACGGCGCCGGAGCCCCAAGTATCGCCAGCGGTTGACCCGAACCTCGACTCGATCAAAGAACTGAAGGATAGACTCCTATCGGCCATCAGGTCAAACCCTGAGGCTGCAGCTGTGGCAGCAGCCGCCATCAGAGACGCCGCAAAGGCGTCTTCCAGGTCTGGTGCAACTGGCACAAGCGCTTCGGCACTCGAAGCATTGTCAAGCTTGTCCGGACTCCGAGGCGGAAACCGGGTTAAGCGACGGGCTAAACGTCAAACTATGCCTCCAACAGAAACAAAGCCGAACTATTCTATTGATTTCACTGGTATGTCACTATTCCTCACGACCTAAATCAGATTTCAATTTCATAGGCATAGGCGACAAGAAAAAAGTTGATTTTTGAAATTACTGTACCTTCTTAACGCGCGAATTATAATGGCATTTATTCAGTGTACTCATCTTCGGGTTCAGGGTTATACCTGACGTACAGTATATCTTAAATGCTCACTCTGGTCGTAGCATTTCAATTTAAAGCATGAAAAATTGAATACCGCAAAATACAAATGATATAATTGGATCAAAATCCGAATTAATGGTTAATTGAATGCTATAAAACCAACTGTTCTAGATTTGTCCCAATTGAAAACAATCTACCACATTTCTACATACTTCAAATGACAAATTCGTCCTGTTAGAATACTAAAATGAATTATATTTCATGACATTAATCACAACGATAATTTGTGTAATGGGTCAAACAGCCGAAAAAACTGAAAAATCAAGTTTGCAGAACATGGCAGTTCCTCTTCCTCATGGGAGTCAGTAATCACTCAGTATATAGCTGGATTCCTACATGTAGGCGAATAAAACTGATGATAAATTTATAACATTGGCACTAGATACCTAACGCGAACACTTTCCAAAGATAATAACGTGGTATCCTTTGTAGAATGATGAAATTGATGTGGTTTTCATTGTTTTTCAACAGGTAATCCATTGAATTGCAACTGCGAGCTCAAATGGCTGTTCGACTTCGGTTATAAGTATTCGGATCAGTTCTTCGGTCTGGCGTGCGGTGGTAATAAGCGGGATCTGTTTTCTTTGCCTTCAACTCATTTCTCTCGGTGTTAACTGGATTATGCCTGCTTTGTTTCCTTTCTTCTTTACTTTTAAATATTGATGAGAGCAGTTACCGCCGCTGCTGAAATTTAACTTTCGCCTGCTTGGATGCTGCCGCACTTGCCCGTCATTATCTTCCGTTTTTCATTTTTTCGAGTTGCTCGTGTCAAGAAAATGAGAAAATCAAAGGGATTTTCTTCCTGAAAATTTGACGGATGTCCAAGTTCTTTCTGTTTCATTCCTTGAAATGGCAGTGCTGCTTGCTGAATGACATGTTCAAACGGGCTATTCCAGTTCATTCAGTTTTTTATTCATGGTAATAAAAAAGTCGAATGGCTTAAACAATGATGTTTCATTCCTCTGCCTGGATTCCTTTCCTAAGTTGATGAACGTCAACTGGAAAAGTTTCTAGTGGATTTCTCCAGGCCCAAATGCGGCATCTGATCAAAGGTGTCACTCCATTTCAGAACTAAGAACTTCGGATTCATTCCATGACCTCTGCGACCATTCAGATGTACTCGACGCGTTTCTCGTGAAGTTTATTTAACTGCTTTCTACTGCCGAGACATAATTCCGGAAAAGCTAGATAGGAATTGCTACACATAATACAAAGAACTTAAAATCCGAATTGTAGATACGCGAAGGCATTTATAGGAAATTGTCTAAGAATTTTTGCTTTCGTATAGCCGTGTTCCAATATTACTCAGATGGTCAGACCTGGAGAGAGGCATCCCCAACATCGAATAAGGTCACTTGTTTCGAAGAATCAAGTTAGCTTCATATTCCTGGAGTCAGTGTAACGTTGATTCGATTGAAAATACTTTTTTGGAAAAAAAAAAAGTATCGGGAAGTATCCGCCGAAGGAAATTGTTTGGAAATTATCAAGTGCCAGCTTTACAAAAACGTTCTGGGTTGAAGAATAATTGAAAAAACGTTGTCAAAGAATTTATATCTTTCAAATTGTCTGTTCAAGAAATCAACCACAGACTAACATATTGACATTCGAAAAATGAGGACTCTACAGTTTCCAAAATGAAATAATTTTATGGAATCTAATTTCAAAAGTTCTTTAAGCGCGGAAAATTAATTTTGTTTATGCAAAACTATACCCGAATGACAGAAAAATACTCGAAAATTTAATAAACGCCATGCGCATATTACCGTTTTTTTATAGTTTTGAACCATAATTAATACAAATTTTTCATTCAGAATTTGCAACTAAATGAATCTCAAAATATTCTCGATTCCATTTTTCACGCTTAGTTTGTATTACTCTGTGAATTTTTCAGGTAGTCCAGAGCTTATTGCACTTGCTTTCGATCCTCACATTATAAACTTAAATAACCATTTTCCCATGACGATTTTGAAGTGCAAAGCGTGCAATACGAATCGCATTTGTTCAAACTTCAATGTATACTTCCATGAGAAATAACCGTGGCCTTCAGATTTTATACAATTTTAGAGGGCTATACACAGTATTTTATTGACTATCGAGTGGGAAAGAAGCAGAGATGTCGAGAATTCGTTTCCTCTGTTAAAATCAAGTTCTATTTATAGTCGTATTTCAAGATGTTTTGTAAATGCTCCATGAAGCAATGCTGAAACATCGTGTTTTTCTGGAATTGAGGATATCTTCCATGGGAACTCAATTCACGATGATTACACTTCGAAATGGCATTGCGGTACAACATTTCTTTACGATCTTTGATTTTTCAGTTTGATTCGGGGGGTAACTTAAGTACGCTTGCACAGTATTGAAGTTTCAGCGCGCAATAATCCCGTATCATTTCGTCCATACCGTATCTTCAACGCGTTTTTTATGATGAATTCCATAAATGTCCAAGTAGGCAAATCGAATCGAACTACGGTAATCAATTTAATGGAAAACAACTCCGCCGTTTTAGTAAACTGCTTGCTCTGGATTATTCCACGAGACAGCACAGCAAAAACTGTTTCACTTAGATTAATTTTGAATAAAGTTTCGCTTCATATTCGTATTCTGAGCTAAGATCATCCCTGATTTTATACAGTATGAGGAAACAATTACGATCGCAATAATGCTGCGGAGCACTTACGCATCACTTCGAAATCCTCGCGAGTGGATACAAATTAAACTTGAATCATCAAAATTGAATTATTTGGTTTTTAAAAAATCGACCGTATTTTGAGCACTAGAGATGCGAATACTGGCGCAGTTCGGACCAGAATCCCCATGGTTTAATTGTGATATGCTTAAAAATGTTTTGGAAATTCGGGGTTTGTGGTTGTCAAATGAAGCAAAATACGCTTCTCAACAAACTTGGTACTTAAAAAAAAAGTCGATCCGACTCTCCCGTGCAATTCAAAGGACGCCTTACCAGGAAACATATCACACAAACCCCTTAACCCTTGAGACAAGTGCATTACTGCCACTTTATCGCGCGTGCGGATAAGACCGATCTTCATTCCTGATGTAGCTGAATACATTTTGATATATTTTCAACGGGGAGCTCAAGCCGTCCGGGAAATATAGCTGTTTAAAGGTAGGTCAGATATTCATCTACCAACTTGTACACGATGAAAGCTTTTGTGAATATAAATTATATGAGATGAATTTAAATATCCCAACAGGAAGGCATTAATTTTACAAAGGCTTGAGGCGTGACGGGATACAGCAAAACTACCCTGGCAATATGGGAAACACGATCGCAAACGGTTTGCAAGATCACCCCCAGGCGTTGAAAGGAACGTAAGCTTGCTTCTGTTTTGGAGTCGACCTCTGACTTCAACAGCGTATCTATCATCAGCGTATCAACCCCCAAGTTATACGCTTTCGTTGCTGGCAGCTTCTTTGGCACGTGTCAAGTAGCTCTTGGTCAATCGCTCTCGAAATCACGTCAAAACAATCCTCGTGTAATCGCTGTGTTAGGAAAAGTCGAACGTGATCACACTCATGTGCATGGCTTGAGTTCCGAGCTTATCGCGGGGGCCTTGGGATCTTCAATCATCCGCCGCATATTGTTATCCCTTGAGCAATAAAAAAAAAAATGCTGGCCTTGAATGAGCATACGATGATCACGCATTACTAGGAAAAGTATGAAATTGAAATATCCATATATTTCAGAGGAAACATTGAACGTTGCTGAAATTTTCCGGAATGACGAGTTTAACGCTATACATCAGGCTTTCCTGTGGTTTGAGAAATTTCTATTCCTTCTTTGTCATCAGTTCCAAACTTTGTAAATTAACTGGCGCACGAAAATAAAATATTTTTCTTTCTTTCAAATTCACAACCTAAAATAAAATTCGTAAGCAGAGAGAAAAATGGGGGGGGGGGGGGGCTAGTCATACAGTAAATCGTTACGAAATCAATTGAGAAAAGCTTATCTGGACTGGAATCGCTATCTACATATGATGTGACTTTAATCATATCCTGGTCCACTGAAGCGCATTACAGACTTCGTATCTCATGTGCCGTCGTGGCGAACACCACGCAAGACGAAACTACGAATTAACATACGTCGCATAATTTCCAAAAAGGGCACGTAAACTTGCTTCTCGGAAATAAAATAAAGAATAGCTCAACGTAATGCCCCTGCAAAGCTTTCTACTAATTTTATGACGTTAAATCAACCATTCCAACCGAAACCTTTCCACTGAAAGTTTCTTGGAAATAATGAAAGCATTCGAGGGGAAGCTGGTTGGATGCACTATACTGCTAGGCATGCGTTGCGTCGTGAGAAATGCTGCTTGAAATTAAATCAGCTATACGTACCGGATGGGAGGCAATCTCCAGGCGACACGGGCTACAGGCGTGGGTGTGAAACGAACTGAGGGCAGCAGATTCCCTCAGCTCTTTCTTTTCGCAGGGGTCGCAGGGAAGATGGGTATCCCGAACGCACGTAAGTGCGGCATTTTGCGCATTTTCCTCATTTAGGAGAGTGTGACACGACTATAGTCGACGTTGGGGTGGCGTCTGTGAGGCAAAGCGGGAAGAGCAAGCAGGCAAGCAAGCGTTGCTCAAATGAGAATAGACCTCCGGGTCGCTAACTTTTTTATGTCGTCATCTGCGGAAGCAAATTTCAGAGCAGTCCGAATAATAGAAATAAATAAAAATATTTCACAGGGTGCATGCGGAATACTCCCTTCCTTCATACTTCCAGAAATATTCTCTCAACCAGGGTTTGCTACCATAAATGAGAAAATTTTCTCATCCAGGGAATTTCGAACGGTTTTTGATAAATCCGGTGTCTTTTTTCGACAGAAGTAATACGGTGTCTCATATAAACTCTCAATCAAACTTTTCAATTCTTCACGAAAGCATTTAGCATAAACGTAGGGCAGTAAGATAAGACGATTATCCGAAAAGAACATGTAAATTCTAAAAAAAATCCGTGTCCTTTGCTATCAAACAGTGAATCAATCAATGCCTGTTCTGTCAATTGTTCATTTCATAGTGATCATCTTGTCAGATTTTAATGCCGGTTTATTTTCATAAACTCTCAAATGAGGATACGTTTTGGGTACATTCTTCAATGCGATCAGTTGCATTCAAACTGCTACGCAAATCAATGGAGTTTGTTTATGAACTGGCGCATAAATTCGGATTTCTTCTAGCATTTCCGATATTTTCAAATTTTAGTGTACAGTATTGGGGAATAGAATGCACGAGAGAAGAAAAAAGGCAGACATTATAAAATTTCCAGGCAAGCTCTAATCTGCATCAGTACAAGTTCTGAAGCGATTATTTATTCTTGAAAATTGCACAACGTGATTTGTTATGTTCCTGGACAAATCGACTGTCTGCATGCGTCGTTCTGACCATGATGTCCAGACGTCAAGCATGAATTCTTCCACTTGACGGTACTTTCGGGCTGCGATGGGTGTCATGAAAATGCTGCTTGTCTATCCCGACGTCAACTGCAAATGCCGGTGCGAAGGAATGGTTGGATCCGAACGCTTCCGACTGTTCTTCATCTCAAGAATATTAGAAATGCGTTGAGGCGGATATTGGGGGAACCCAGGATGGGGTAGAGATGAAACCGCCTTCGCGATCTACGTCATCCACTCGCGATCGAACGTCGTGGACGGCAAGGAAAAATAAATGGGAGACGGCGGGGAACAGAGAAGACGAATTCCGGGCGGAAATCCGCGGGAACTGATGAATTCAAACCCAGCCTTGGCACATCGTCCTCAGTGAAGAGAGGAGGAAAGGGGGGCGGCTCACTATACTGCGTATATCTCGTAACAACTGTGTTGCTACTTTAACCTGGGTTCCGGTCGCAGGCCGCGGGAAAACTTGAAGCACCCTTTTCCCCATAGCCGGATAAGCGACACGATTCGAATGGATTGCGATGCGGCAGCCAGGGTTCATTCATCCATAGCTCCATTCATCACGGGTTACAATTAGGTCGGGTAAGGCGTATGAGTATCTAACGCAATTGTTCTTCTAAAAAAACTGGAATCATATTAATCTGTTTTACTCGTCTCAAAATGAAAACAGTGTTGTCTATGAACGTAAAGCAGAATTGCCCATGACATTTTTACAGAGGATAGGATTCCACTTCAGCTAATTAGTTTAGATTCTGGTCTTGCTTTAATTATAAGCCGAACGTCTTCAAATATTTCCAAATGAGCCGTGAAATTTGCTCTTACGCTCACGCAATCAAAATGGGATATTTTAAAATTGAAATTTTAATAATTTATATGTAGATGATCCAGTTTTAATTTATCCAATTTTTATCTTCGACATTAAATATTTTAAACGTTATCACTAAATATAAAATACGTCAAAATTAGGATTCCGCCGGATATAAGAAACTCTAGGAATTTGAACCAAAATTTGTGGCTGAATTAAATTTTGTACATTGTGAACCTGGTATTTCAAAGAAGCCCATTGGTTCATGGAAATATGAAAAAAAGGATGAAATTCAATTGCAGTGAACCCCGGATCATCCTGGCGAATGATCAGGTGAGGGTTTTTTTTTACGGAGTATTCATCAGAGATGATCGAAAAAAAATATGAAGGAAGGATATCAATTTCAACAATCATCTGACCTGCCGATGCATTGCTGGCATTTTAGTCTATCTCGAGAAGAAAAATCCTTCCAAGCTTCATTTAGATTAGAAACTTTTCTCCACGAAACAAATAGGTGTACGCGCAACAGCTTTTTTTCTGCTCCCTGTGACATTAAAAGCAATTTGAACCCTCTCTCTCGTTCTGCGTTGAAATTTTACACAAATCAAGATCTGAAGAAAAACTTACTAAACCCCAGTCAATGCTTTAGCTTAGACAAATTAATGATGTCTCATTCAGAAACCTGAAGGAAGCCTTGAGGAAGCGGAAGAAACTCACCAAGCAGCAGAGGAGTCCTTCCATTCATTTCTTCAGAAACTCTCCAAACAAGTCGAATGATTTTTTTCATAGTTCTTGATGAAAGCTAAAATTCGCAGGTATTGATATACAATGTGTCAAGATAGACATTTCCGCGGAACACCGAGCTTTCATTCAAGCCAACATTTTTCTAAGAAAAAGATTACCGTAATCGCGAGTCTTGAATTGTGTGAATTGAGCCTAAAATGCCTCTTGAAATCAAAAGATTCCTGCATCTTGTGAATGAATAACTTATTTACGTGCGCGATTCGGTCCGTTGAAATTATCAGTTCAAAATAGAAACTGAAAGAATTCACCACCCCTCACGAGTTTAAATTAGCAGGTCAGAAATCCTGAAATTCCCTAAAAACTGAATCCTGCGCAAAAGCAGTCGCAAGATTAAAAAAGTGGATGCCTTTAACGAAATGCATATTGAAACTCCCTTATAATCCGGCAAGCTTCGTTGCGTGATTCAGTATCAAGATAAATGTATTCTGTTTAAGAGGCCTTTGTTAGATGAAGAACCACTGTGAAATTCACTCGGATGAAGGCATCTTTGCGTAATAAGAATATATTTTTCTCACAAAATAAATGTGGTGCACAATTTACATCATAGCATTACTTTTTATTATATTGGGCTGGTGGCTTCATTTGATGGTATAGCCGAACGGCTGACAAAAACTGATCAGCTAAATGGACTTCGTGAAGCCGTCTGAAGTCTCTAGGGATGAGGATTCGTCCGAAATCCTCTCGTGGAGGAATTGCCTAAGACTATCTCCTTAAGTGGTCTAAACGGCGAATTAAGAATTTATATTTTTAAATTTCTTGATTTTCCCCGCGGGCATACATTTCTACTGCCGACGAATCGAGAGCATAAAAATATGATTTTATTCTGGGGTTTCTGGCTTCAACTTGGGAGCATTAGGCCTATAGTTTATTGTTCATCAATCATCATGCATTAATGTACAGTATTCAGAAATTCAACGGAAGCCGGTCTGATATAATTCGAGGATTACATCTTTTGAAACAAGGAAATGTTAGCTTGCAATTGTTAATCATCCTCGGCGAAGTCAAAATATGGAATAATTAATCAAGAATTTTCAATCCTCTTAAGGACTGCATGATATCCTTTGAAATTATCAGCATGAATGTACATATTTATTTTTCCGACATATGCAAGTATGTATAATTTCTGCTCGTAATTTGAACTTCACGTTCTAACAAAGCCTTTCTTTATTTTAGAGTAGGATATCTTCGAAAATTAGGTCGCTCAAAAAGATTGCCTGAAACATTCCTTCCTTCCGCGTTTCCCAAAATTATATATCTCAACCAAATGCTAAAATAAAGGCGGAATACGTGCAATTAAAGAGGTGCAGTAATTCCTTGGAAGAGTGAAAACAGAGTAGTGGTTCAAAATTGAAACTGAAATTTCAGATGATTGGATAAGGTTCTTGATCCAATCTGCTTCCCCGGGAATCCGAAAAAAATTAATATGATGGTTTAATTCAGTGGTGGTTGATTTTCTCTTTATTATTCTGTTGTTCATGCAAGTATAGTCAGTGAGTACAAATTTGAAAAGAGAAGGACGAGAAACTGTCAATATAATCTCTCTAAAATTGTTTATAATCTAAATCGCATTAATTTTAAATTTAATGTTGTCTTTGAGAGTTTCTTTAATGAACATCTTGAGGAACTCGGACTTTCCTCCTTAGTACAGTATTGAACTCGACAGATCGGGTTGCAGTTCATTATTGTCTGGTTAAGTACTGGCTGATTTTTTCTCCTTTGATTCTGTCATTCATGCTATCGCAATTTATGGGTGAAAATTGAAAAGATAAGGACGAGAAACAGTGAATAAAATCTTTAAATGCTGATAATCGAAACTGCTGTGCTTTCAAATTAAATGCTTCCTTGAAAATTTTTATTCAATGGAATTTTTGAGGAACTGAAACATTCCTCACATGTATTGAACTGAATCTGGCGACTTGCAGTTGAAGCTTCAGCAAATAATCAAATAAAAATAAAACCTAAGGTAGACGGTCTGAATCGAATACTTTCATCGCTATTGATCAAGGCGCAATACTTTTTGAATGGGCATGAAAGAACGAGAAAGTGACGCTGCTGCCTGGCTGTGGGCAGCAGAATCAAAATGAGCGAGAGGGAATATCCCCGAGGATATTTTCGACACCCCCGAACCTTTGTCAAAACTTCCACGGTGAGGATGTGGGGGGGGGTTATTTCTTGAGGAAAACTTCGCTCTTTCTCTCTCGTCTTTCCCTCTGTGCTCTAGACCAGGGCCAGAATTTATGGTTTCTCCTTTTCGCGTCCCGGGAAGCAGGGCTGCTGCTGCTGCTGCTGGTGCTGCTCCTACACCGAGGACGCATTTTTCATGCGCTGCATTTTCTCCCTTTGTCCCTGTATGGCTAATACATCCCTTAAATTCCTGCTCTGCCATTTGAAGAATAGTCAGCTCCATTTCTCCCACCTCATCCTCGAATCCTAGCAATTCCGACAATCGCAGCTCGATCTTCACGATTACTGCCACTCCTAGCAAAGCCTGAGCAATGCGTCCGCCTATTGCTATCGTAAACTCGCGACAGAGCCTATACATAATTTTCATAGCGGAAACGCTTGAACTTATTTTTCAACTGCAGCGAAAGGATCTCTCTGTGTCCAA